TTCTATTGTGCGCGCGCCCGTGCCCGCCCATCCATCACCCATTAATTGTGAAAGTACATGTGGAGTGATCAGTTTGTTGTAATTTTTTTTTCTGGGAGCTAAGAAACATGAAAACATGATTCCCACAAAATTTCAGATTTTTTTTGACAACTCTAGCTATTTTTTCTAATTTCTTATTATTTAATATTTAAAAATTCATTAAAAAAATTAGTTGGTTGAAAAATTATGAAACTTGATTTATAGATCCATTAGAATGTCCAATTCATGAATCAATCGAGTTCATGGAAAAAAATATTCTAAAACTTGATATATTTGGCCATATGATGACTTAGAAAAATCGTATCTAGGCCTGACAGACCAAAAATGCCTCAAAATGTACTATATAGGGGGGTGACTAGTCTGCATGGGCTGGGCACGGGGGTACCCCCTATATCTTCTGCCACCCCCACGCCCCAAGCACTATGTGACCCATGTGGGCATATGCTTGGGGTGTAGGGGTGGTGGTTGGCGGACGAGGGCGGTTGATGGCGGTGGTGCGGTGGCGAAACTTGCACGGTGAGGTAGTGTCGGGTGCGCCTTTGGGCGTGCAACATGAGTCTTGTTGAGAATGGAATGTTGCGATGTTGCCTTCTAACTTGGGCTGGCTAGATGGTTGATGGCTGGTACGATGATGAAACATGCAAGGTGGGGTGGAGTAGGGTGCCTTTGTGGTGATGCTCGGCCAGCCTTGGGCCAGCCCTATGATTTGAAGGCGTGTGGTGCAAGAACATGTTCGGCTGGTTGGAATCAGGTGCCTTTGAGCGTGCGACATGAGCCTCGTTGAGCACGGAATGTTGCAATGTTGCCTTGTAAATGGGAATCTCTAGTGTTTGGACTATGGATGGCTGCTGGTACGATGATGAAACATGCAAGGTGAGGTGGTGTCGGGTGCCTTTGGGCGTGCGGCATGAACCTCGTTGAGTGTGTGACGTTGTGGTGATGCTCTGCCAGCCTTGGGCCAGCCCTATGTTTTGAAGGCGTGTGGTGCCAGAACATGTTCGGCTGGTTGGAATCGGGTGCCTTTGGGCGTGCGACATGAGCCTCGTTGAGCACGGAATGTTGCAATGTTGCCTTGTAAATGGGAATCTCTAGTGTTTGGACTATGGATGGCTGCTGGTACGATGATGAAACATGCAAGGTGGGGTGGAGCTGGGTGCCTTCAGGCGTGCCGCATGAACCTCGTTGAATGTGGGACGTTGTTGTGGTATGCCTCCCTTCCTTAGGCTAGCCCTTTGTTTTGAAGGCTGCGTGGTGGCATAACATGCTTGGTGGGGCGGTGTCAAATGACTTTGGGCGTGCGACATGAGACTTGTTGAGCATGGAATGTGGCCTTCTAACTTGGGCTGACTTGAGGATGGTTGATGGTTGGTACGACGACAAAGCATGCAAGGTGGGGTGGAGTTGGATGCCTTCGGGCGTCCAACATGAACCTCGTTGAGCGTGTGACGTTGTGGTGACGCCATTGGGCCATCCTTGGGCCAGCCCCACATTTTGAAGGTGGTGTGTTGGCAGAACATGCATGGTGGGGCATAAAGGTAGTTTACGTCACTTCAGAATTTGAGGATGTCCAACACATGCGTTGTTGCAAAACCCCAAGAAATTAGAACGTCGTTCAAAATTATGTCTATTTGTAGGATACCCCAAAGAGACGAAAGGTGATTTGTTTTATGACCTTCAAGAAAATAGAGTGTTTGTATCAACAATTGCTACATTCTTAGAGGAAGACCACGTAAGAAATCATCAACCTCGCAGCAAACTAGTATTAAGTGAGATTTCTAAAGAAGCTACTGATAAAACAACAAGAGTTGTTGATCAAGCTGGTCCTTCAACAAGAGTTGTTGATGAAGCTGACATTTCTGGTCAATCACATCCTTCTCAAGAGTTGAGAATGCCTTGACGTAGTGGGAGGGTTATAACTCAACCCGATCGTTACTTGGGTTTGACAGAAACTCAAGTCATCATACCTGATGATGACATTGAGGATCCATTCACCTATAAACAAGCAATGAATGATAAAGATAGAGATCAGTGGATTAAAGTCATGAATCTTGAAATAGAGTCAATGTACTTCAATTCAGCTTTGAAACTTGCAGATCAACCAGATGGGGAGAAACCTATTGGTTGCAAATGGATCTATAAGAGGAAACGAGACCAAACCGGTAAGGTACAGATCTTTAAAGCTCAACTAGTAGCAAAGGGTTATACCCAAAGAGAGGGGGTGGACTATGAAGAAACCTTCTCTCCTGTTGCTATGCTTAAATCGATTAGAATACTCTTGTCTATTGCCACATTTTATGATTATGAAATTTGACAAATAGATGTTAAGACAGCCTTTCTAAACGGAAATCTTGAAGAGAGTATCTATATGGCTCAACTAGAGGGGTTCATTGAACAGGATCACGAGCAAAGGGTTTGCAAGCTTAAAAGATCCATTTATGGGTTGAAGCAAGCATCTCGATCCTGGAATATAAAGTTTGATACTGCGATCAAATCTTATGGTTTTAAACAGAATGTTGACGAACCTTGTGTTTATAAAAGGATAGTCAACTCTACAGTAGCTTTCCTGGTGTTGTACGTTGACAATATCTTACTCATTGGAAATGATGTGGGATTTCTATCTGACATTAAGCATTGGCTAGCGACACAATTCCAAATGAAAGATTTGGGAGAGACTCGGTTTGTTCTTGGAATCCAAATTGTTCAGAATCTTAAGAAAAATCACTAGCATTCTCTCAGGCATCGTACATCGACAAAATATTGATTCGATATAAGATGTAGGACTTCAAGAAAGAATTATTATCTTTCAGGCATAAAGTTCATTTGTTGAAGGAACAAAGTCCTAAGAAACCTCAAGAAGTTGAGGATATGAGACACATTCCCTATGCATCAGCAGTCGGTAGTCTGATGTATGCCATGCTGTGTACCCGACCCGACGTATGCTGTTCTATGGGAATTGTCAGCAGATATCAATCCAATCCGGGACGTGCTCATTGAACTGTCGTTAAGAATATCCTCAAGTATCTTAGGAGAACGAGGGACTATATGCTAATGTACGGTGCTAAGGATCTGATCTTTAGCACCGTACACTGACTCAAATTTTCAGACCGATGTAAATTCGAGGAAATCGACATCAGGGTCTGTCTTCACTCTGAACGGAGGAGCAATAATATGGAGAAGCAATAATATGGAGAAGCATACAACAAGGTTGCATTGCTGATTCCACCATGGAGGCTGAGTATGTTGCTGCTTGTGAAGCAGCGAAAGAATTTGTATGGCTTAGAAAGTTCTTAACTGATTTGGAAGTCGTTATAGATATGCTTCTTCTCGTCACTCTTTATTGTGATAACAGTGGAGCAGTTGCAAATTCAAAAGAACCAAGAAGCCATAAGTGAGGAAAACATATTGAGCGCAAATATCATCTCATAAGGGAGATTGTGCAACGAGGAGATGTGATCGTCACACAAATAGCTTCAGAGAACAACATTGCTGATCCATTTACAAAACCCCTCACGGCTAAAGTGTTTGAATGGCACCTAGTGAGTCTAGGACTACGAGTTATGTAATCTAGGGCAAGTGGGAGAAAATGCATGAGTATGTGATGACCTAGTTTATTGTATTTATGTCTTTCTCTCTACTCAATGTTATAAAACCCCACTGGAGTTTTAGTCCAAGTGGGAGTTTGTTGGGTTTTATGTCCTAAAACTCATGGTTTGTAAACAAAAACATAAACTATTTTCAATAAAGTTATTATTGTTGTTTATTCAGTAAAGATTGTTATTGATTAAAGTCAACTTTATGATCATTAATCTAAATCCAATAAACTAAGAACACTCTGGCTATAGTATGATTACGTGAACTATATGTAGAGACATAAGAGTTGATCAAGTTCAAGTATATAGTCAAAATGATCTATAGTATAAGGATAAGGCTGAGTACCTTATTCTGGGACACTATGGATGCGGCTCACTTTTGTATATGATATAAACAATGTGAACACATAAATTGTACATGTGGAGACATGTGAGTGGGGGCGTCCTATGCAATGAGTATTGCATAAGATCGGACCATGAGAAAAATCACTCTCACTTTATAATGTCGTTTACTGTTGAGACTGATTTTCTTTTTATTCGATGACCTAGGTAACTCGATCTTAACCCTGAGCTAACCATGAACTCCTGTTTATTCGAAATTATCCTTAGATTTGCATGAGTGAGAGTGGCTCAAGTTCGCCGACTCAATAGGCCTCTCATTTCAGGGGTAAGACTGGGTAAATGACTGGGACGTGGGGTGCAAGATGGAATTTACTCCTACCCACTTTTAGGGATAGAAGAGAGGTAGTTCCCTTAAGGATAATTCCGTGATGGGATAGGGGTATCCCCCAAATGCATGAACACAACCATCAAATTTTTAGGTTGGGTTAGATTCTCGTGTTTATTTGTTAAAATTTAATTCATAAAGAAAACTATTTATTTATTTTCAAATATTTAATTAAGTTTTACAACTTAGTTTCAATATATATTTCTTAAAATAACGGATAAAAATAATTAGGAGGGTTTAAGAATAAACAATAAAAAAATAATTACAAATTAATTATATATATTGAATTAAATTTTAAAAATTGTTTTGAGTTCCCAAATTTTGAGTTCTCAAAATTAAAAATTTTTAATTTGTAGTTGAGCTCATATTTGTTCTCCTCCCCAATTTGTTTTATTTGGGAAAGAAACAAATATGAAGCTCATGAGTGTAAACAATTTTTTTTTTCTTTTCTAAAAATTATTAAATGATTTCTTTAAAAAAATAAAAAATTAAATGATTAAGAAATGCCTAATCAATATGACAATGCATAGTTGATTGGAAGAACCAAGAAGGAATAAGGAATCAGGAAGCTTTGAACCTGATTGCATCAATTTACGCAACTAACGAAGCTTGTGATTCTATCAATTTGAACTTGCGAGTTGAGATAAAAATTATAAAATGGAAGAAGGAAGCTTTGATTAGTAAACATGTTGTGCAATTCAGTAGAATTGGAGTCGCTTATTACATTCAGATAGCAACAACTGTGGTGAATTACAAACCCATTAAAGCATGGACTCAGCACATTGCTTCGTACAAGTGCATTTATCACCCGAGCAAAATCCGTCATCCCACTTCTCAAAAGAAATGCAAAGTTCAGCACATGTTGCTGCAATGCACGGTCCTATAAATGCATCGCTGTGCTTATAGCATGTCCGCCCCTCTGTCTGCACCACCATCCATCCTGCAATAGTAACACAAACTTATTCATACAAACAAAAACCTTCTTTTTAATACTATCTGTCAATCTAAATCAACATGGAGAAGGAGGAAGGATCAAGTACCAGAAGTAAGGGCTAGGAAGATGAACACCACAATTTTGAGATTTCTCAAGCTTTGTCCCACCATTCTTTTCTTCTCTTATTCCTTGCTACAATGGAATGTTTGTTTCTTCTCTTATTCCTTGCTCGAATGGAATGTTTGTTTCTTCTCTTATTCCTTGCTACAATGGAATGTTTGGATATCAGTTCCCCATTTTATATCTGTGAAATGCCTCATCTTTGTAACGTCTTCTTGATTTCCTTGCGATTTCAAGGAAAAAATAATCACGTTTTGTAACGTCTATACTGGCCGTTCTTAATTTAAAAGGAAGTTGTTTTATTTTATTCTTGTCTAGTCATGCGGTTAACATTGGTCGATGGACGTAAATTATACTATTGTTAAAAGTAACCTATTTCTTAAATACAAATTTAAAGCATGAGCATAACCTTCTTAGTATTAATTATCTTTCATAATCTGTATAAAAGGTAGGAATTTAGGTGTACTATTGTTATACCTCTTTTCATATGCGAGAAATTTAAGATGATAAACGCAACGATTAGCATGTAGTATAGCCCGGTTTATAAAATCTTGAACTGGAAAGCTTAAGTTTTATACTGTTTGATTATGGTTTTTGTGATGGTTAAAGATTACCGTTTAATTGGTGGTGTGAAATTCAGTTGTTGATATATTCCGTGCATTGAAATGATAAAGATTGCCGATATCAAAAATAGTTTCAAGGATGTGGATTTAGAACCTCGCCTGTTTCCTTGTCGTATTAATTTATAATAAACTTCTTTCCACATTTTTATTTTTTAATATTTTAGTCTCAATTATACAAATACCTAAATATTTTAATTAGTTTTTTATTATGTCAATTATTTTTTAACTGTATTAGAAAAAATTTGATGACATGAAAAATCTAACATTTGTATGTTTGGATTGGATAATAAAATTATTCAAATTGGGTTGAGTTGAAATAAACCATAAATTGAATTGATTTATGAATATTAGTCCAACTAAATCCATCTAAATTTAATTTAGTTTTAAAATATAAAAATATACTTATTTTATTTTTGTTTAATTTCATACCATCTAAATACCTATTCTCAAGGCTTCATGTGTTCCAAGCAGCATAATCTGAATACCTATGCTCAAGGCTTCATGCATTCCAAGTAGCGTAGTCTAAGTCATGAGAATGTTGAACCGTGGGAGGTCTTAAGAGGTTCTTGATTCTTGGCTAAGGTAACTTACTCGCTTCTTGTTCCTTCGTGGCCCTAGACTACTCTTCATGGTAGACCATAAAGGTCACTAGCTTGGTGCATACTTAAATATGTCATCCTGCAAATCTTTTTGGTACCCATAACTTTTCTTCTAGGTGAGGGAAACTTGAGGCCAAACATGACATCCTGCAAAGGAAACATGGTGCAGGTCATCCCACCTAGAAGAGGAATTCTTGGGCCTTAGAAAGCACCGCTTGATGCGAGGTCACTTTGGGCATGGTTAGAGTATTACCTAGCATTCTTGTGTTTTTTAGTTTGGGGACCTTGGTCCCTCGTCCTTGAGTGGTACCTAACATTCTTCTTACTTGGGTAGTTGTAAAGCTTGTGTGGTGTTGTTCTTGGTCCTCAATCTTGTAAGTTTCTAAGGTTCATAATTTCTTGGGGCATAAGTTGTAACTTTCATTTGTAATCATATGAACCCATCTTAGCGTAAGTTGTTCTAGAAGGTCATAGATTCTTAGGGAGTTCTTTCTACCCATATCCTAACCATATTCTTTTATCAATCTCTCATATCCATAGCACTTCGAGGCATAACCTAACCATAATGTTTCGTGAATACATCTTACTTCTATCGTTACATTACATTTAGTGCATCCTTCTCGTATCATATATCAAACATATCATTGAACACATCACACCATAAATATTATCATACAATTCACATATTATAGCATAACATAAACATAATATAAGTATATTGATTCACAGATAATTCACACATATTAGTATATATGACACGTGTAGAACCACAGGTACGTGTGAACATCAAATATAACCATGCCGATAGTAAGGCCGCTTATCTGGTTAACTTAAGTTGTTGTCACGAATATATCCTTAATGAAAGTTCGATTATGTCCTTTGAAATCAGTAAACCTATTTGAGCCCATGACATTAATTTCAAGTTTGAATACTATAAAATTATTACTTGGGTTTATGTTTTAATTACAGAATCTTCCTTTTTTTTAATGGGTATTTACTCTGTTGCCTTCTAATTTTGTTCTCATGTATTCCAAATTTATAGTGGATCCCTATTTCCAAATCTTTCCTTATCTTGGTGTTTCCTTTTGTTCACAAATTTTCTTGGTCATTTTATTTTTAATCTATTCATTTGCTACGGATATAAATTTAATCTAATATTACTAATATAACGTGATTTACTAGAATTCGTATAAATGACTAACATTTAGTTTCTAACTCAAAACTAAACGATTATAATAATTTAATGAAAATCTAACTATAATTGGCTATGATTTCTTAAAAAAAACTAAAAAGAATAGGATAAAAGAAAACGAAGATTTAATATATACCTTATTGTTCAAATCTATCTTCACTTAAATCTCCCATGAATCTCAACTCCATAAAGGCCATTTTCATTTTTTTTATAATTATTTTTATTTCTTTATTTCTTTATTTATTTCATTATTTATGATTTTTTTTTTTGGGCTATTAGAGCAGAGTTCATCTAGACACTTATTTTAACGTTCCCTAATTCCCGAGTATTTTGATCGATTTAGGGCCTTAACTCATGGTTCTTTGAGCTTTTCTTTCATATATCCGAAATTCATACTTGTTTTAGGGTTCATATGGAAATCCAAGCGATTCCTACCAGTATTTCTTAACGAAAAAGTGCAAGGTGGCTATTTACCGCGTTGTCGACGTTCGGGACCTCTGTTCATGATCTTCCTATACCTGAATTACCTTCAATTTTCTTCCACAAACTTCTTATTGTGTCTAGTTTCTGGAACCATAAAGATTTTTCTGAGAACCATTCTAGAAGAGGGTTAAATTTTAGAAAAATCAAGGGGTCAAGTTTTTGGTTGACATGGCTAGTTCAAATTTTAGAAAAATCGAGGGGTCAAGTTTTTGGTTGACATGGCCGGTTCAATTGAACCGGCCACGTCATCGTCTTCTTCCTCCCGACGGGAAGAAGACGTGCGTGATCTTTCGCGCCGCCGTCTAAAACTCGCCCTCCCTAGCTCCGATCACGCCGTTTCTCCGCTCGAGTTCTTCATGAAACTTAAAGAGGGTATTACAAGGAAGAGCTATGGATTGATTTCATACCTTTTCGTGGATCGTAGCCTAAGATATTCGCTTCCAAAGTTCGTCCAAAATATAATTTCTCGCTGGAGTAAAAACAAAGGATTTCTTATTGGGTAGCCGATTCTAAGGGTTTTCAAGGCTCGATTTCTTCATGGAACTTCTTCCTTATTCTTTCCTCAAGCTTAAGAAATTGGTTTCGAGGAACAACTTTGAGTGTGGGACCTTAATTTGAGAAATCACTCTCGGTCTGCAAGTTACATGACACCTCCAATTTTCAATCTCTTAGGTATCTTGTTCTTAGACGTTTCAGCTCTTGATTCCTTCATCAAAGTTACTCATCTTTTTCCTCTTAAGCTAAAGGAATCCTTTATTTGAAGGAAAAGAGGTCATAGATAGGAATTCGACACTTACCCACAATTTGAACACGAAACGAATTTCTTCAATTGGAATCGTTTCTGAGGTTATTTCTCTTCGTGGTCTTCAATGAAAACATTCCTTGAAGGTGCAGAAACTTATTGAGATTGTTCTTGCTCAACGAATTTTGTGTATCCTCTGATTTGAATTTTGAGTTTTCCTTGAAGCTCTTTAATGGCGGATTGGATTGGGGGAATGGTTTCTAGGCACTTTCCGAACCCTATTCCTTCATAGCACTTGTGGGTAATATTGTTTAGAAACTAGAGGAACAAGTTTGAAAGGAAATAGTTGAGAATTGCTCTCAAATTTGGAAGAAACCCGAGAGTAGGAGACCCAAAATCTAAACGCTTATTGCCTACGATTGGGAGCTCTCCCTTGCTCGACTCTTATTCCAAACTATTGCCCCAACTTCAGAATTTATAGGGAAAGCATAAACCGGCATTGGGAGCTCTAGATTCATCGTGAATTATCGGTTGAATTTTCTAGAAAATTCGTCAGAAATATCTACTCCGATCACAGCCTCTCCGACTTTGGTTTTGAATCCTAGCTATTGGATGTGATGATCCGTGAGTTTTCTGAATATATTCAAGTATGGGGGAGATTGAACGGCTGAGAGTCGAGATTTGAAGGATTTTGTGTAGAAGGCATAGTGAAGGATTGGATTTTTAGCAGAATGGCAAATCCGTAATTATCCTTAACTTTAAGGGTATTTTGGTAATTTACCACTTTTCGAATATTTTATTATTATTTTTCCTCCAAAAATCCATAATTTCCATAAAAATTCTTCATTTCTTCTAGGTCATTTCTCACTAGCATCTTGAAATTCCCTCAAGATAAGGAATTAAAAATTAAAAATGTTACTTAGAAATTCGATAAACGACCTTTTTATCCTTTTCGCTTACCAAACTTCATTCTACGAAAATTTTTATAAAAGTCTTTCATTTGCCTCTCTTCGATGGAAGTTTTATTTTTTCAGAATGTATCCTCATTGTGGCCTAGTTCTTTTTCTTGATAGTATTTATTTATAAGAATCATAAGATGGAAAAACAAATGTCAGCCATTGATTCATAAGATGGATGGTTCTTTCTCAACTTTATCTTATTCCATAGGGAACTTTATTATTATTAGTATTTAAAATATAAAAATTTAAGAATATTCTAATTTTAATTGATAAGAAATGACTTTGTGGTAATCCAGCATTCATATATAAATTCTTAAATTTGTTTATGGAAAATATTTTTGTTACACCCGAATAAAGAGGAGGTATATGAATGAAACGAGACACGGTTTAAATGAGAGAAATTATAAAGATAAGATGACTAAAAAAAGAGTTACTATTTGTACCAATGAAGTGCTAAGTTGAGCTATTGTATATTGGGTAATGTA